GACATCGGTTTGCAAAATAAATTGTCTAGAAAGGCAACATGAGTGTCACAAAGGTCCTTATTTAAGACATTCAATAGGTTAGTGGCACGTCTTTCTAAGTGTGGTAATATTTGTCTTACACGGGTAAGAGAGTCATTGATAGATTCATTCTCCAAGTTATCCACCAGTTCAATCAAACTAAATAACTTTGATTAACAATACTCATATTCCACATTAACTTCGACATTAGTTAAATTTGCCACACTAGGAATCTTACTTGCCTGAAGGGCAGAGTGCAGTGATTTGCGCAGTTTAGCCTCAATACCATCAGTGGGCTGTACTCCGCGTAGCAACAACTCAGAAACTAATTCTTCCTTCAACAAGAATTCTGGCACAATAGTAGCTGGCATGAGTAAAAGATAACCCAACAAACAGTGAACAAATAGAAACAAGACAACTTAAACTAGGACACAACACAAAATATGACCAAAAAAATCCACTTAAAATTATGGTCACCGTCCAAGGTGTCTGGCATGAGAAGGGGAAAAAAAAATCTAAATAGGACCGCACAGGCAGAAAAACCCTGTTCTGCTAACAAAATATTGAACCACTCTCCCGTCATAGGGTTGGGACACAATTCAAAAGCCCAGGGGCAAACAATCCAAGCGTTCTCAACGCCGCTCGCAGAGGATGCCCAAAAAGTAAATCCGCAGGTCTTCCCGCAACCAGTTATTGCCCTCTTTCAAATAGTAAAAGAAAACGGTCAAGCCCCGAAGTCATTTTTCCTTCACCAAATTTTAAATATTAGAATAATATATTTAAAATCATCACTCGGTTTCACATGCAATAGCCATTGACAAGGTTTTTTTTTTACGAAAACAGAAAACTGTATACTGGGTAGTAAAGATATAGATATTTAGTTAAAACAATTAAAAAATTATGATTATCATTATATGTGAGATGTTCTTATGAATCTACCACCAATAAAACTGCATTGTATTAATAATAGAATGTGTAAAACAACTTAAATGTGTTAATTCAATTCACTTAATTTTTTTATATTCATTAATAGAAACAAACATAATCTAATGGGAGAAGTGGTGCACCACGAATTATTTTACGTATAAGCATTTAATACATACAAACATTTCTATTGATAATTTTTTACTTCATAATTCACATATAAATTTCACTGTTTTACAAAAAAAAAAAAATTTATTTTTCTGGATTTGTTTTGTCTGATTCTTGTAGACATTTGTGTGCTGATTTCAAATAAATTTTTCGAATTCTCATATCAGGCATAGTTTTCAAGATATGAACTTTTTACATATATATATTTTTTGCAATTTACTTCTTGTCATGGTGACATAATTTACAGCTGTACTATCTAGTGTACACAACAGGTATGTAAACATATTTATTACAGTTGTCACTAAATGAACATCTAAATATGAGAGCTTACAGAAAATAAAAAGTTCTGTATAACAATAATGTGAATATGTCTATTTTATTTGCTTCTTTTGTGTTTAGTTTCATTGCAGTCTCGTATAAGATTCCAGCAGTAATTAGCGAGCATGTTAGGCATCCATTTTCCTTCATACCACTTATTTTCCTTCATACCGCTTCTCTATATTCATTATGTCCTTTTGGAACCTAACACCATGTTCATCAGACACTTCACTGCAGTTACCAGGGAAGGAATCCAGGTTTGAGTGCAGGAAATGCACCTTCAAGGACATGTTGCACCCTAAATTCCTATATGCAACAATCATATAATTCATCAGTTCTCTGTAGTTTGCAGCTCTTTGTTTCCCCAGAAAGTTTTTCGTGACATTTGTGAAACACATCCAAGCTGGCTTTTCTTTCGGTGAGACATACTTCGAAATTTGGGTCTTTCTGAAGTTCCCTAATCTGTGGGCCAATAAAAACATCTTCCTTTATCTTTGCTGGTGAAAGACTTGGAAATTTCTCTGAAAGATACATAAATCCTCTTCCAGCTTGGTCCATTGCCTTTACAAATTGCTTAATGAGACCCAACTCAATGTGGAGTGGACGAAGAAGCGTATCTTCACTAGCTACCAGTTTCTCACGTTTAATATTTTTCTCTCCTACTTGCCATTTTCGTCGAGGCCATTCTCGTTTTTCGTAATGAGAATTTCTGTCATGACTATCCCACTCACAAAGGAAACATCCATACTTTGTGTAGCCTTGTTGCATACCCAAAATCATTGCTATAATTTTCAAACACTCGGTGCTCAACCTCGCCCCCTCTCTGGCAGGCATGCTTGTTTTCATAAAAGAGAGAGGTAGTTTGGAAGTCTAACCTCATATATCCAGATATATATATTGTTGTTTTTAAAGCACTGTTAAGAATATTTTATCGACTTAACTTGTTCATTGCGATTGTGAAAAGTGTAATAACAGCAATATTCTGTTTGGTATCAAGCATAACAAATTATGATATTATGGTCATTTTTCATTTAGGTTATTTGTGTGCATTTTATTAAATACGGCCTTTTGCACATAAAAATTATGGTTTTAATAATGCAAAAATGTAACAGATTAAAATACGTTACTAATTTTATAAAATACTGTACATTTATTCGAGGAAAGTGAAAGGCCAGCAATATTTTATATTTCAATATTTATTACTTTTTCTGTCAGAGAAATAATACCGAAGGCCTACAGAGGGCACAGGTCTCAATTCGCTAAAGTGAGCTAGAGTGGAAGTGGCGAGTGAGAGTGAGAACATTTTTGAGTTGGCACACGACCTAAAGCTACTGTACACAATTCATATTGAAAAATTTGCGATGGGTGGTCTTTTTTTTCTTTATATCTATGATGAATTTTCACTACAGAGTATATCGCCTCTTTCGTGCACTAATCTGCGATGTCATAAAAAAAAAAAAAAAAAAAAAAAAAACACAGTTTTCCCGCATTTTTACAACTTAATAAAAAAGTTAAAATTAACGCAATCCACTCCGCGGTAAAAGTCACAAGCTTACAAAATATTATATTCTTTGATATATACCATCTGAATAAATTTTAAGAATTTTAGAGGATACATTTTTCAGAAACATATGCTTGCAATAAAAACTTCTAATGGAATTTACCTCCATAAGCAGAAGATTCAACGCTCATGTAACCAAGATAATTACAACAAAATATCACGGATACACAAACTACACACTGGTTAAACTCAAATCTTACTAGTCTGTTAACGTCTTGCAGAATAGCTGAATATATGGAAACATAGTTACAGGTATATCAACATCTGAGTCTGAAACAAGTGAAATTCAGAAGTCAGTTTCGCCAGCAGTTTAAACTTAGGTTTAATAAAATATATTATTGTATATGGTTTAATTTTAGTTAAAATATATTTATAAACATGTCTAAAAAAACTGTGCCTGACAGAACATTTCTGATTTCAAATATGAATTTCCCATACAAAATTCTTTTATAAATCACTACCCCTTGTTACAAAATTTACCCTTGTAGAACAGCGTTATTAACAAATGAACTGCGAAAAAGTCCATAACATAAGCATACGAAATAATATATTTTTAGCGAAACAGCATGCGACGAAGTAAATAAAAGGACATGGCTTTCCTTGATATGAATAGTAGCTTGTACGAAACAACACAGCCGTGAAGCTGGTAAGCAAATCAACAGCCGCGGTAAAACACCGTTGCCATGAGGCAGGGCTGGATATCAGCAAGAAATTTCGCGCAGCAAGATGCCTGTATATGTAGGTATGAAGCCATGTAGGGGAAGGGTATTGTACTACAAATTTAAAAAAAATTCACCCAAAATAATAAACAGGAGAAAACTAAACACGCAATTCACTCATGGGGGAAAAAAAAAAAAAAAACAAGCAAAGTGCACTCTCCACAGGCGGTGATGCAAAATTTTACAACATTTGTCGAAAATAGAAGAGCCTAAAAATGACATGACTTCACATAATGATACTTGGAAGGGAACAGATAGAAGGTCACGTCTGCACCAAAGAAGTTTGCGCGACTGGACAATTACACCCGTACCCCGTATAGCAGATTCGATACAAACGAATGGCCATGCGCTGGTCCCGGATTACATTGTAGATTAATGCTAACAATATATTTATATTTCCCTTTTCACATTATATAAATTGCATTAACGTTATGTAGATCACATTTTTATTTTTTAAAATTAATATTTCATTACAAGACTAAATTTTTACACAGACGCCAAAGGGCCATCTATCGTGGCACAAAATACTTCAATAAGTTATAGTAGAGAGTCACCAAAAAGAACGTTTTCAAACAGGAACAGTAAAATTTTAATTATAAGTAAACCAACATTTTATGTTTTCAGACAGCAATGATTACCTGATTAGTAAAATAATTGACAATTAACAGAAGAATGAGTCAAATAAAGAACAGGTATAAACGATATCGCTGAAAATCGAATTAAAGTTTGAGCAGGTAAGTCCGCCAAAAAACAAAAACAGCACAACAGTAGCCCTATATAACGGTACGTTATCAAAGCACAATTATTGTCGTGCAATTTGTTAATGCAGATGTTGATGAAACCTCCCACTTCTCGTTCATTCTACACAATTTAATAATACAAAATGTTCCTTTTAAGTTTTTTAGAAAGTATGGGAAATGATTCGATGTGGAATTCTAAGACTAATAGAAATGTACAGCTTTTGCCTTAGTGAGGTTAAGAAAGTTATGCACCCAGGAATATGGGAAAATATAAATATTTTTTATAAAACTATCGGAAACTACTGACGATGAAAGAAAACTAACGTAGATTATACATCATTTAAAGTAAACTATAAATAATTTATCGCTGAAAATGTTGTGTAAATGTAACTTCTTGTTGTTAACAAAATATAATTTCCCATTCTCTTAGCACATCAAACGCTGTGACCCAAACTATTTAATGAATTTTCAAATCGTATTATTGAAAACCATGTACTTTATACCGAACACGCTCCTAAGTATACTTACTTCCTAATTAAAACCCCACAGCTTGCTCGTCTAGTTCAATCGGTAGGGCATAAGACTTTTAATCTCAACGTCATGGGTTCGAGCCCCACGTTGGGTGGTTAATTTTACCTTTGTTATGACACAGTCATGTGTTATTTTTTTAATATTTTTAATTTTGAAAATTCGCGTTCATGTAAATGAACAGTGTTGCATATAACAAGCAAAAGAATAATTACCCATTGGTTCCATTATTTACGTTTTGAAAATATTGTAATTATTTATTACTTGACGATATTAACGTTTTCATTAGTGTTTATAATTTAAATATTTTGTTAGAATCCCTTAAATGTTTCATGTTGTTCTATCCACATTAACTATGGCAAAAGATTACCTATCTGAATGGGGCAGGATAATCAATATTTGTGTATTAGGGCAGCTAATTCACGGCATGTAATTTCGGCTCGACAGTGGCCTATATATTTAAAGTCACCTTAACATGTTTGGTGCTTTAAAATTTACTGTAACGTTTAGATGGAATTGACATTTTGTTTAACTTATTATTTCTGTATTCTAAACCTTAAAAAATTACAACTTAAAAAAAAGTGAAAACATTTTACTAAGATATTAATTGGCTGTTACTCTAGTATTATCATTTGGTGACCATTTTTTTAAATGTGTAAATATAAAATGTAACTAAATGGATACGGATATAAAATTATCAAAATAGTTATTCTTCTTAGCATTTCATGTCACTGATAGTTCCATTTGAATAACACCCATCCTGAAATTTGTTCAAATAATTTGCGTTTTTAAGCGAAAGTACGATATAATCATTACATTTGAGATTGACATTTAACAATATATTATCATATATAAACGTCTGCAGCTCCAGGCTCACTTCTGTAGCTAGACAGCTGATGATTGCATATTACTAACGAGATACCTCGATATTTTTACCGGAGATACGAAGAAACTGATACAACACGTACACACATACGCACGCACAAACACATTCACATACACATTCACGTATACACACAAACACACACACACACAAATATATATATATACATATAATATTTTGTATTTCTTCGCCAAATTATAAATTTCTCCTGCTCCTTTCCATTCCATTTGGTATTGCTCTCACTTTGCAAAAGCTCTCATATCGTTGACGTGACTAGTCCTATGTTTGAATATAGAAAAAGTTATTTAACACGTGTTTCAAACGATCGATAGTCGACTCGGAGCTGCCTTGCGTAGCCCCGTAACCTTTGTCGTAATGTCCAGGTGGCAATATTTGTGTTGTTCTTAAGTTAAGGAAATCATATGTTAATAATTTTCATTCTATTTTTTAAAAAAGGTGTTTTCATTTACTGGTGAAATTGTACATACCTAAAGCTAAGTTTCATAAAACCACTTTGATATATGCCAAGTGTTCCAAACCTTATTGAATGTATTTAAAAGTCACAAATTGTTGTCTTACTTTAAAAGTAATTAAGTTATAAAATATAAGAATACATGTTAAGTTTTATTAAAATCAAAATAATATATAACAGAAACATGAGCACGAAATACTATTGAATACTCTTGCATTTGCAGTACTTATGCAGATACTGTTACATCGACTCGTTAAGTGAAGCAAGCAACTTTCTAATATTTTCTTCGTTCAACAACTTCACATTGCAGCCTCTATCTTCACGCAGTCCTCAGTTGCAGACGTGTTTGATTAGTATGAAATACCTGGACACGGATTTATTTTGATTCAAACATGAATAGTTGCTTTACAAAGTTCACGTGATTATGAAGAAAATTGCCGTTTGATAAACCGCTTAACCGTTATGTATGAATATTTACGTTTACAATGATAATTTTACAATAATTCTCCTGCATAAACAAATTGTTTGAATACTTCAAGACATACATTAGCACAATTTTTTTTACGAAAAATTTATGTCCACAGTTAGTCTCGCAGCTGGTATTTTACAGTATATAGCACTGATCGTAATTCTATTTATTCTTTAGTGTGTCATATATAAACGATACTATTTGGATAATGTTTTAAGAGGATAAAAATTGTTTCATATTGCTGCTCTTATTTAACATTTGTCCACTAGGTATGCATCTGTATCCTTTGATTTTGTATGTAAAATTATATTGAAGTTATTAATATTGGTTGCCACTGTTTTTGTTATGAAATATTGCATCAGGAAAGAACATCTATTCAAAATGTGGTTTTATGTCGTTATATATTTGTTCCAAAAATTGCTTGTTTTTTTAAAACAGTTGCCATATTTCGAGGATATTTCATTTCACTTAATCGAAATGTTTAAAATGTTGTAGTAAACTATTAATGATAATTTGTAGACAAACTATAGTACCAAAATTCGAGCGACATGTATTAACTTGTTAATTTGACAATAATATCACTGGAAACACGTGGAAACTATGGCTGGGGTGAAGTAGGAAATGCAGTACAAAATATTGTTCTTTTCTTAAGTGCTTATAATATCTTTTAAATTGTTTATGGATATCCAGTTTACCCTAATTTTGAGCAAATATTCTGTTCCACTTAAAATCAATTGGTATGATATTTTGAGACTATAATTAAAAATAATTTCATGAATTTGCTAGGATTATACTAGCATTGTGTAAATTCTCTGAATTTTATTATTCATGATATCTTTAGAATTTAATGTCATTGAAAAATTCGGTTTGATTCTAAATTCCTAGCTTAACTAAAGTTCTCTACAATGCTTGTTACATGTAATTTTCAATAATACCAACTTTTAAAGAAATGGCTCTAATATAGAGTATTGTTTGAGTATTCTGCGAGTTAGTCGAAAATTGTAATTCTTGCAATAATTTTAAACAACTATTAGTTCTTTAAGTTATAGAATTCAAAGTAATGGACGGCATCAGCTTAACTTTAACTCATATTTCCTGAGTCTTAATTACGTTGCCGTAAACTACGGGTCACCGAGTGATTCTTCAAATATAATTATTTGGAAATTATGACGAAGAAGTCAGTAGGCTATAGTCACTTATTCATTATATTCTATTATCAGAACAAATGACCATACGTACCGTTCGTGGATTAATCTAAATACGCTTATATGATTGTGCACTTATTTCGCTATTTTTCCTGTCAAAATTTTTTATTTATCGGAGTACTGATATATATTTTAATATTTGTCTAGGCAAACATCATATTCATAGAATTACGTATTTAATAGCACTGTATTATAACATTGCAATATCACTTATATTATTAAAGTGTGTATATAATATAAGTTAAAAAGAAACGAAACGAAATGTTAAAATTAAATTGCGACAGAAACAGAAGTGCCAGATTGCTAGAGGTCCAATAAACGAATAGTATTTCATTCTGTTTCTGGTCGACAATGGATATGTACCTCACTTTAGGCCACTTTTAATTAACTACGGAAAGGAAGGTGCCTCGCTTCAATATACTGATAAAGGGAGAATGACTTCCGTCAGCCAGACTCGACAGAATTGATAAGCAACGAAACACTGCAGATATCAGCTTTATCAATTACCTGTATCCAGTGATATCAACCCTGGTACATCTGCAAACCACCTAATATTAACTACGGGAATTCGCAGCACGCTGCACGCCAGTATTCCATTTCTTGTAGATTAGTGCTATATTTTGCTAGAACGTGAATGCTCCCGTGAGCAAATTGTAAATGTGATTTTTGTTCTGACAAAATAGTTTGAACAGCAGGATACGTTTTACATTTGGAATTCACTAATGTTTCGTAATGGTAAACAGAAAATATTGTTCGTGGACATATATAAGCTCTCTGTTTTAAGGCATAACAGCGAAGAAGAACATTCAAGTCATTGGAAACCTAGTATAGTACTAGTCTATGCAATAGGTGCTACGATTGACAAAGGACTTGAGGATTATTAGTGAACGGCTGTTCAAATACTGAGAACGTAAAGAGATCATATGGAGACAAAGCAGTCACTTTTAATACGTGCAAGATACAAATTATGAGTATACTCGCACTCTTTATCAACCAACATCTTAAAGGCGTTCTCTTACTCTGTGTAATAAACATTTACGTTCTTCCATAGGCTAATTCTGCGATTGTTATCTTGAAGTTTTAAAAAAATCTGACAGACTACATAATGTTTAAACAAAATCTAAAATGAACAACAGAAACAGTGAAGTGCAGTAATAAAGTACGAACGCATCAAATCAGCATAACAGAGAAACGGACAAGCATACCGACCGGAAGATTAATCAGGATATCGCCTAGGGTCCGTACTATAGGGCATGCGTGTAGGAAGACGTGCTGTAGACGTTAGCGACGGGTATAAAGCACGATCGCTGTGAACGCTCAGCATTGTAGTTGGAACTACTGAACAGTATACATCGGGGTGATCTGATCTCTGATACAGCCAACAGGGATTCTCGTAGGCAACAACTGGACGACTTCACTCGAGGTCTAATAATTGCGATGTTGGAAGACGGTCGAAGTGAGGAGACCGGGCTCGCACACACCATCGTGTCAGAAACGTAGCCGGCATTTCGAACGACAGGAATAGCTTAGAGAGGTTTAGAAGTAGTTGTTCACGAGCAGCCACGTCGACGGACGACAAATATGTCGTATTTCTGGCGAGGAAATATCGACGTCAGACATAGGGTGAAACTGCAAGACACATGCAACACATTACTGGACGCCCCGGTATAGCGTTGTACCGCGGCCAGGATACTGCACACATGAGGTTTGTTCGCTTGGTGACCAGTATGGTTTAAGCAATCGACGTCTACCCATCGGCGACGGTGTTAGCTGTGGTGCAGAGAACACAAGGACTGGGGACCTCGCGCTTAAACGTATCCGGACGTCTACAAAGCTGGAGAAAGCGAGAAGATGTAATCACCCCTCCGACATTGTCGACAGGCACCGATTGGCAGGTGGAAGAGTTTTCGTGTTTAGGAGGGCATAACGCTTGGAGGCCAAAGGGCGCTCCACAATATCCAAGGAGGTTCTGTCACTGGTGATCGCTATTGTACCGAAGTTCTCTTCGCTCACGTGCATATTATCCGTGTTGCTTTGGATCCTGAGTTTCTCTTCGTGGACGACAATC